AGTGCTTACAACAGTGCCTGGAATTTTAGTTAGTATCATTTCAAATTTAGTAACTGATAGTATTACTTTAGGAAGATATCTCATATTTCTGATTATTCTTAATTTATACATACTTATAATTCTGCAGTTTTTATTTTGTTTTTTATTGATTTTAGAGAAGAAGAGAGAGAAAGAGAGAGGAGAGAGAAACACCAATTTGTTGTTCCACTTATTTATGCATTAATTCATTGATTCTTGTATGCGCCCTGACTGGGGAGTGAACATGCAAACCTTGGTATATTGGGATGACACTCTAACCAACAGAGCCACCTGATCAGGCCTCCAGCTTTTAAATTCATTTCATTATAAGATGGAATTCTTAAGAATTTTTTTCAGATGCTAAGACATGTTTCCTTTGTTATCTTACTATATTTCTTTGTTCTTGAGAATATTTTTTATAGTAATTATACCAACTGGAATTTACATAGCACTTTGGAAAGCTTTGAAATATTTTATTTTGCTCGGTCTTTAAGATGTCCCTTAAAATTTACATTCTCCCAAACCCTACGAATAAAATGAAATGGCTTACCCAGTGTCACATAGCTGCAGTTGGTGGGTGAAGTATTCCAATGCAGTTGTCCTGATTCAGAAAGTCTGTGCTCCTTTTCTGATTCACTGTTTTCATGGGCCTCCCAAATTAAAACCAGAAATTCTGCATCTAGATTCACCAGTGTCTTCTGCTTTGCCCATCATAAAAGAGCAACAGAACCAAAGATCTCTCCCCCTCTGGGTTATTTAGTCTAAGATTACTATTAATGATCCTCATTCATTCCTTTATTTATTTTAACAAGAGGTTACTAAGTTTCTGTTGGAAATATTATGCTCTGAAAATGCTTAGTATGGACTCAGTTTACTCTCAGTGTATGTATGTATGTATCTAGTTATCTACTTATTTCTAATTGTTCCATGTTTAGAAAAATGATTTATGGACACTTCAAATCTACATGAAATATAACAAGGTAATATAAATTAGACTGATACAGAAAACACATGCACAATAAAAATATGAAATGCATTCAAATATGAGACTCACGAAGTCCTATGTTTTCTCTCGGGCCCTCCATGTAAATTGTGTATGTGATGAAGTGTTTGACCTTAAAGTGTGTCTTCAAATAATCATCCTGAGAGCAGATAAATTGTATTACATGTTTGTCATAAAAAAATTAAAAGAAGGTATTTAAGAGATAATATCCATCTGAACAATATTTAAAACAGAAAGAATATGGAAGGTGACTGACATGATGATAATGCGATTCTGGTAATATTTATTAGGATTTTTGCGTAGGGTGTTATTAATGAATGGTAATTAAATTTTTTTTCTGTTTTTCTGTCAACATTGATTTGTTCTCAGGTTACCTAAAGTTATATTTCTATTCAGTATCATTAACTTACAACAGCAATTTTCAACCTTTTTCATCTCATGGAACACACAAACTAATCACTAAAATTCTGCAGCACATCAAAAAATATCTTTTTTGCCGATCTTACACACACACTCAATGACAGGTATAATTTTTGTTCATTCACACCAGCCAGCTATTGTTTGGCTGTTGTCATTTTTAAATTTGACAATCTAAGGGAAAAGAGGTCAGAGCCCCTGACTACATAGTGAGGTACTGCATGTTTTAAAAATTCTTGCAGCATACTGGTTTGGAAATCGCTGATTTATGGTATTAATGGTTGGCCTATATCTGAATTATTTTATTGTGAGCATATACATAGTTAAGTTTCAGTTGAACATAGTACTCACCAATAACTTCTGTATCTTTTGTTTGGGGAGTATTTCTTATTTGAGGAAGTGAAATCTGAGTCGATTAGAATGGTGGAGTCCCAAGTACTTCCTCTTAACATTCTCAGAATTTCAATATGTTGGAGGCTAGAAAAGGAGTTAGTTATTGGTCTTCCTTTAACATATGCTCCTTGAACTTGCATTAAGTATATGTTGACAGAAACACTATTTTAGTTACTGAGGCACAATGCTGATGAGTTATATGCCTGTTGAAGACATCCCTCATGTGTATTCAGTCAACCATCTAACTGAAACCAGGGCAGAGCACCAAGGTGGCATTTGAGAATTTATGACGAACCTTAATTTGCATGTGACTGTAGACAGTTTACAGAGAAAGAGTGATGGGTGCAGTCATATTACAGTAAATACCGCTAAGAAGACACATTTAGTGTGATCTGTTTGCAAATCAAAAAGGATTAACATTGCAGCTGTTTTTCTGATCTAGTGAGTAATATTCTCAACAGAGATAAAGCTGAACAGAAAACATCCTTTGTGATATATACATAAAACAGCGACTCTAACACATATCAGTAATTTGTGTTGCATTTCAGATAGGAGATGGAGCAAAATTTAAATTGGGCTTTAGATGAGCTGTCCCAGCCTTTTTCTTGTACCGTCCAGGTGCTATTACTGACTTCCACCTCCTTCCCTTTCCACACTTCACCTTTACAGTCATCCTGTATTAGGAAGTGGAATACAGAACTCGAAGTCGCCCTTAACCGAAGCAACACGCAAACTGACCCCGGAGGCTCTGCGAGAAGCCTTTGGAGCAGAGCACGCTGGCGCTCACCTTCTAGGCAGTGCACTCAAACATTCATGACTTTAATGTTTTAGACTGAGCGCACTCATTTTTAGTAATAATTGTGTTGTAGTTAGGTCTTAAAAGATTTTCTATTTTTAGATACACATACTAAAACATTGACAGATGAATTTATGTAATGTGTAGGATGCAGTTCCAAATAATCCAAGAGTGGAGGGAGTAAGCAAAAGCACAGATGAAACAGGACCGGGTGTGAGTTAATAATGGCTGAGACTGGGTGACAGGTGCATACAGATCCATCACACTTTCTCTCTGCTTTTGTATATGTTGAAAATTCTCTGTAATACGTTTTTTACTGATTTCAGAGAGACGGGAAGGGAGAAGGAGAGATAGAAACATCAGTGAGAGAGAGACACTGATTGGCTGCCTCCTGCACCCCCCTGCTGAGGATCGAGCCTATAACCTGGGCATGTGCCCGGACCAGGAGTCGAACCAGTGAGCTCTTAGTTTCTGTGTTGACACTGAACTTCTGAGCCACACTAGCTGGGCTGTAATTTTTTCATTTTTATGTATGAATGAGTGAAGGGTCCTCTTAGGGCCGGAGTACTGCTTCCCATCCTTCATACGGTGAGGGCACAGGGACCATCAGCTCTTCACATCTTGCTCTTATGTATTAGAACTACCTTTTGGAAGTTATCTAAGGAAGATCTACAAGACAGTTCCAGCAGTGGACACAATATGGATCCCTTCTGACTTTTATAATAAGGGGATTTTATCCAGATGACAACATATATTGAATATGCACTTAAACTTAATGTTCTTATTATTGAAACATAGGAGAAAGGTTTAGTTTTGCTTAAATATTTACTTCCGTATTAGAAAATATCAATGTAAGATAGAAGATTTAAGTCTCCGTTTTATCATCCGTAAAATGTGGAGCAAATATTTAAGATGCCTCGAAGCCCACCAGACCTGAGCATGTGTGGCAATACATGTCAAAGGATTTTGTATTAACATGTCTGTTTTTCCCCCAGCGCTTTAGTTCAACTATTGTACCATTCCAAGTTTCTTTCCCAAATTATGTAACAGTAGATAAATAAGGGAATGTTGCAATTTCTTTTCATTAACCAACCCAAAGAGTGTTTGTTTTCCTTTATTTTGACAATTTCTGTGGCAATGTAGATGTTCAGTTTGTTAATCTGAGTGACACTTGGGAAAGAATAAACTACCTACCAGAGGATCTGCCACAGAGGGATGTTCAGTCATTGTCCCATGAGAGGAGAGTGAGAGTTACTCTACTGCTGATGGGCATGTCTCTAGATCACCAGTTTCCCATCACACCAAGGGCATGGGGCAGTTTTGAGTTAAATACTGAATGGTTTCCTTAAAGATGTCAGTTTCCTTTGCATCCCTTGTCTCATCTCTAAAATGGTTCTAATTCATCTCATTTCTGCCTTTACATGATTTTATGATTTTTACTGTTTTTTAAATGACACTACTAAAGTCAGGGTATAATGCAGACAAGAAAATATGGTGGTGGATATCCTATGCCATTTATCTTTTTAAGGCAGCATAATCAACAGGGCAAGAAAACAGTCTTGTTTTATTTGCCTGGCAATTGTGACTTTTTAGGGCAGTTTCTTTTGAAAATGGAATTGGGAGACTTTGAATAAAACCTTTAATAATTGCCAATAAATAAATTTCTGTCCCAAAAATATCTGCACAGATCTTTCTGAAGCATCTAGTTTGAAAGATGAGGGGCGAAGCTTACTATGTCACATAGTGTTATATTCCACGTGAGCTGTGTCAGCACGCAGGCTCTCGGAACAGATTATGGCTTCTGAATATAGATATACTTTATTTTCCCCCCACCGATTACTTATAGATCAATATTTTAAAAGACCAAGGCAACTAAAATGGCAATATTTTGCCATAGTTATATGCACAGGAACTTTTCCAGAATGGATTTGAAAATGGATTGTTCTAATTGCTACTATTACTTTATAGTGAACTTTTGTCAAACTGTTTCTTTTATAAATGTTTAATTAGCACTGGTGCCTTTTGGTAAAGAGGGACATGATTCAGTTTCTAGTTTTCTGCAGGATTAAAGTTTTGATACATGAAAATTATAAGTGAACATTCAGGAAAATTAGGTTAGGCTCTTTTATTTTTTGGCAAATCAAACTTTTTTTAAAAGAAATTTTTCTTTAAAATTTTGAAATTTGAAATACTGAAAGTTTATCATATATTTAGGCTTTCTGTTCTACTCCCACTACCTCTTCCTCCACCCCCTCTGATTAGCCTAAAACCTTTTAGCAACTTGATTTGTTACTTATAAAACTTTGGCCCCTCCCAGGACTGTTTTATTTGAACAAAGACCAATGAGCACATTTTTTGTGTGTGTTTGTTCAGGAGTCAGATGGCCAGGGCTGCCCCTTCTGTCGCTGTGAAATAAAAGGAACAGAGCCCATAATTGTGGACCCCTTTGATCCAAGAGATGAAGGCTCCAGGTGCTGCAGCATCATCGACCCCTTCGGAATGCCGATGCTGGACTTGGACGACGACGACGACCGAGAGGAGTCCCTGATGATGACTCGGCTGGCCAATGTTCGGAAGGTAAAACTAGAAGACACGGGTCTAATTAGGGTGGTGTGTGGACGTGAAGAAGAAATGCTGCTGTCACAAATGGGGTCTTTCCGAGCGTGTTTTGGAACGGAAGACTCAGGCATTAACGGGAAGGTGCAGATGGAAGTGATGTTGGCAGGACGATGAATTCATAGAACTCCGGACTCAGAGTACACTCTTGCTGGTTTTGAACTTCACAATGAGAGATGGTGAGAGCTTCCGTACAGAACTATGCGTTATCTAAGACTAGCAATAGCCGATCTGTGAGGGAGAGTTTTAAAAAGAAAATTACTAAAATTGGAAATGATGAAACTGATTAAAAATAGTCTTTGTTGGAGTCTAAAAGAAATGTCTGACAAAGTTACTTACTTCCCAGGGAAGCCAGCCTTCTGTTGGGTACTAAGAGGTCACACAAGACTTACCTTTGTGCATTTACCATAATCTGTGCTTTGCTTATCAGTGTTGCTGACTCATAAAACTGACTTTCACTGAGAATGGATACTACTGCCCAGTTGGAGTTTATGTAACCAGGCTCACAAGGGACTAGTCACTGAGCCAGAATGCCAACCGAGTAATTTACAGGCCAGAAATGTAATGATCAAGAGAGCTAGACTCTAGGTATCAAGCTAGTCTCTGTACAGTAAGGTACATGAAATTCAGATTATGCTCATAACTTTTGTGCTCTCAATGTCAGCAAAATGACAATGAATGGTATGAAAGGGCCTGCAAATACCACCATGTGAAGGTGCCCCCCTCCCTCCTGGCTCAGGGCAGACATGGCTAATCAATCACGGCACTCATGCCCGCTGACTTCAGACTTGGCTTACACAGCCCTGTGGGACCTCCACTGCAATTCATTAGGATTTGGCAGGTAACATGAAACCCATTTGCCATGTAGGTGGAGTGACTATAATGTGTAATGACATCAGGTTGTACTTGCCATATGCATCTGTCTCTCTGGTAGGAAATCACTTGGTGCAGAGAACATATGTGGCTATTCAAATGTAAATTTAAAATAATTAAAATTTAATAAAATTTTAAAATTTCATTCCTGAGACACACTTGACATATTTTAAATGCTCAGTAGCCACTTGTGTCATGGCTACCATATTAAACTCTGCAGATAGAGAACATTTTCTCTAGGTATTGAAATATCTAATGAAGGTAGGTATAATAGAAGTATCTGTTATCCAGAGCTAATTCTGCTGGACAGAGCTTTATGAGATCATTCCTGCAGGCTTTTAATGGAAGAAGCTAGGTCTTGGTGCAAAAAGATCTTTCATTTAGATTTAATAGCCTAATGATCTTAGCTTTGTCTGGATATTTGAATGTGATCTAGCAGTGGAATCAGCAGACTATGGCCTGTTTTGTTTGTTTTTCTGTGAGCCAAGAACGATTTTACGTTTTAAATGGTTATATATTTAAGTGATTTTGTAAGTACCTACATAATTTCCCTGACTTTGCATCTTTGCTTGCAAAGCCTAAAATATTTAATATCTGGCCCTTAAGAAGAAGACTGCAGTCCCCAGGTCTAGGGCACTCTAAGCATTTAAAGAATGTTTATTGAATGCACGAGTAATGGGGAATGGCAGAACAGTGTTTGAGAAGCATACAGCAGCTCAAATAGCTCAGGTGACTTAGGTGGTTATGTTTTCCAGCTGGGAAAAAGGCATTTCAGTTTTCTTTACTAAATGGATTTTCTTCTTTCAGTGATTTATGTCAGGGAGGGGGGTGGGACCTTAAGAGTAATTCCTTTAAGAATTTTGTATCTTTACTGCTTGGGGGAAACAGTATTTCCCTGTAGGATTTGGAGGAAAGCTACAGTCTCGGCCTGTTTTCCACTGAAGTGTGTGGAAGCCTGAGCTCTCCTTCAGAAGCAGCCCTGACAAGTGAAAGGAATCGCCCATAACGTGAAATGAACAGAATGCTCGAAGGCGACTCGAGTGGTTTTCCCTGATCTTTTCCCACTGTCACGGCCATACATGTTTTGTTCCCCCTGGCACACCTGTGAGCTTTCAAGGGACCTGAGAGATTTTTACATTAATCTCCTTTTTATGCAAAAGAAAGAATGGTACTTTCAGACATTATTGTCCCAAAAGTCCCTCAGTGGTTTATTTGGCAGTCAGCAGTATCCTTTCATAGGCTTTCACTACAAGCAGTTATTTCTGTACATTCCTATGGCAGTTAGATATTGGAGACATTTAAAGAACTTGTAATTATTTGTTTTTAAGTTGAATCATATTTCAATAAAATGTCTTTGTGTGCACTGATCTGCCTCTAGTCAGTTAAACAGATTGTGGATTTTATAATATTTTGTAAATCGCTGCCATTTAGTAAAACCTACATTTAAGTATAGATATAAGCATCAGTTCTTCCTGAATAACTGTCAGAAATATTTCTGACTTTGTGCTCCCATAACACCGTGTATGTACTTCTATTTCAGTAGCTAGCACTGAATTGTTAGTTCTGTTAGAGGACTGTTAATTCGTAAGGCTAGGGCCAGTGTCTCACTATCTTTGTGTTCCCTGGCACTGAACCCACTCAGTGATATTTACTAAATGAAATAATAAACACACGCATGCATTGCTCACTCGTTCTTGGAGGGTAGTGACCTGGTCTTACATATCTTTTTAATCTCTGTTCCAGTCTGAAGACTGAATATATATGTACAGTACATCATATTACAGGTTTTATCCAGTTCTGTCTTACAGCCGAGATGATAAACATATATAAACACAAGGTCCTTTTGACATCATAGTTCTTCTACTGGAATTTTTCTCTTCTATGTTTTTATACTCATTCTGTTGCCTCATTCATTTGTTCATTCATTTTAAAACCATTTCATTTCCTGAATTCTAGGAGTAACTGTCAGTCATTGATCAGCAGAATAATTCATTTTTTTATCTGCTTTTTCAAATACTCATCTTTCTCTCCTTTTATGAATAGGTTGATGATTATATTGTGAAATCTTTCTGCCTCTCTTATGCATATTGCATTCTTTAAATTAGTAATGCTTTGCCCTGGACAGGTTGCTCAGTTAGTTAGAGCATTGTCCCAACATGCCAAGGTTGCAGGGTCAGCCCCTGGTCTGGGCACACAACAGAAGCAGCCACTGAATGCATAAATAAGAGAACAGGTCCGTGTCTCGTGCACTCGCTCGCTCTCTTTCTTTCTCTTTCTCTTTCTCTCTCTCCTTTCTTCTCTCTAAAGTCAATAAATAAAAAAGATTTTCAAAAAATTAGTAATGCTTCCATCATGTCACAGAGGATCGAGCTGTTTGTACATTCCTGTTACCATGGTGCTATCTCACAACTGGAGTTTATTAACAGTGGCATACTAAACGTATAGATTGTTTTATTACAAGTTAAGTATATTTAATGCTAATCTTACAGAAGCAAATAGAACTTATAAATCTATAATACAGTGTATTGGTCGCCTGTCTTGATATAGGCTATTTTATGATTTTAACTAGAAGATATTTTAGATTTTGCTTCAAATTGTACCATTTCCTGTGTTTTCGATCTGTCAGAATTTCTAGGATAATTGGATCCGATGCGAGCCCTCAAAGGAATCCCAGGGCATGACTGGGAGGATCACATCCCTCTCTGACTACAGTGAGATCAGAGCTTAGAAAAAGTGTCTGCTGCTAGTCAGAATTTTGTTTCATTTTGCTTGTGTGTAAAGGGCAGTCTTAATAGTTCTTAGCAATTACGTTCATAGAATGTATTATTCACCAAATACATAAAATCACAAGCAAAATAAAGATTTACATACAAAATAATAATGTTGACAGATAGACCTAGTATATGAACCCGGATTAATTCATTTGGTTCTAAAAATTATGTTTTTTTAAAACAGTATTTAAAATCTAAATGAATTGCCATAAAAGAATAACAATGGGTGTGGCCATAGGTCAAGGGAAGTACTTGTCTTTTATTTTTATTTATGTTCTCCTAATGTTGCTGTCATCACTTAAAATACATAATGCTAATTAAAAACAACGTATCATCTAATTCTTGTTTTTTCTAATAATAATGAGTGTAAAGAAAGGGTTCATAGTATTCCTAGTCTTTAGGAAAGAGTTTGTGTGTGCAGATCAGGGTCTTCGAAGTGTTTTTAGAAGAGTGTTGCCTTTTTCACGTGACTTAGATTCCAGCCACAGTGCTAGGCCCTGTGCTGGAGCAGTGATGACGAAGATAACAGCCAAGGTGAAACCCAGGACTAGCAATAGACATTCACCGTGTAGGACATGAGGCTCCACAAGGGCACGTCTGCCTCCTGACTGTGTTCAGAAATACGTGGGGACGTTTTTGGTTTTCAGGATGACTGATGGGTGGGGGAAACTGCTGGTATTTAGCGGGCGGGCCCAGAGATGGGAAACATCCTGCAACCCCCGGGACAGCGCCACCCAGGGAGAATCATTCTAACCACCTGCCATCGTCCTCGCTTCCCCCACTGTGCCACACAGGTATAGTGAGGGATGACAGTAAGCAGTCCAGAGCCACAGGTTCATGTTTGCCATTTAATTGCATTCAGTTTACGGATTTTCTTAGAGCTCTCTGTGCAAAATAGTAGCATTTTCTGCATTAGTATGTGATTAACGAAGCGAAACACTGCCTTGTCCAAGTGTTATGTGATGTTATGAGACCCTGAAGATACTTGTTATCTATTCCGCAAAACAGTTTGAATATATAGTAGTTGAGGAGAAGCAAGCACTTAACTCTTGTACTGAGCCCTCCTCCCTCCGGCGCCGGACTGTGAGCTCCTGGAGGGCAGAGGCCGCTCCTAGCTCATGCCAGTCAGACGCCTGCATGGTGTGACACATAGTATGCTGTTGAGAAGGGTTACTGTTTTGTTTTTACTTAGTATTCAGTGGTGACACTGTCCCTAACTGTACTTAAAGCTGTGGTCCCTGGAGTCCATAAACCTGGGTTCGTGTTCTAGTTTTGCCACTTAGTGTCTGTGTGCCTTGCGTCGGTTATTTACCCCTG